GCCACTAGAATACACACTTTAGGAGAGCAGAGCCTGTGCTTCGCATTCACTTGGTGCCCTCCATGCCCAGCATGGGGCCTGGCCTACAGTAGACCCTCAGTATGTACTAGCAGACCAAGGCAGCAGTGGCCTCTGACTGCCTCAGTTTCCCTTTCCATCCTGCCCTGCTAGGCGGTGAGCTCTGTGAAAGCAGAGATCAGCCAGGTTTACCTGAGTCCTCCATGCCCAGCAAACACACTGGTGCGTGGAGAGGGTGCACGAATGTGTAAACAGAGACCAGATGGATTGATGAGTAAGTTATGTTTCGAGAGAGTCAGAGTTCATGATGCAGGCCCTCCCTTCTCCCCACCTCCCCAATATGCAGTCCCTTCCCTCCCACTGAAGGGTCCTGAATGGTCCCTTCCTCTGTCCATCCTCAGCTGAAACTGAGACTTCCTGGTTGGGTGACTTTGGACAAATCACTCAACCTCTCTGAGTCTTCATTGCCTCTTCTATAAAATGGGACTGATATTGAAAGCATGGTGAGACTAGCACGGTCGGTGCCTGGCAGGTGGTGGGCACTCAGGGAGAAGTGGTCCCGACTCTTGTTGACAGTGGCCTGGCCTCTGTGCACACTGTGAGCTGCCTGACGGGAGCTGGCTGACCGCTGACTGCTGGAGGTACAGGAGACCATCCAAGCTGTGGAGGGTTCTGGGTCCCCTGACACCCTGGCAGCTGTCCCCGCCACCCCACCCTTGGCTCTGCCGTTGGATGTCCTTTCTCTGCGGTGTGCTGTGGCTGGAGGGCTGGACCAGGAGGGGGGCCCAGCTCCTCTGGAGAGCTGCTTTCCTGTCTCCCCACAAGAGGAGAGCCTGCACAGCCTTGGCGGGCTCCCACACCAGCTGCCCCAGTGCAGGGCGGGGACAGCAGCTGCATCGTGGAGGCCCCCAGGCCCTCTCAGCCTGTCGCTCAGTTCTCTGGGCTTCCAGATTTTCAAGTAGGGAGAAACGCAGTCGGGCTGAAGATTTACAGGCCTGCTGAAAGGAGCAAATGAGATGGTGCCTTTGATGGACGGCGCTCTGGCCCAAGGTTGTAATATAATTATTAGGTGATGAGGATCCAGCCCACAGAGGCGGGGAATGTGCCCACGGCTCCTCAGAGCCGGGAGAGGCCACCTGGCCCGGCGGCCTAGATGCTGTGGGACATGGACAACTGACTTTCTTTCCTCATCTGCAAAATGAGGGCAGTTGCCTTCCCGGGCTTCTGGGAGGAGCCACTGAGGCTGCGCACGTGAGGGGTTGGGCCAAGTCCAGCTTCAGGGCTCGTGCCTGCCCCAGGGGCCTCCCTGGACCTGTTTGCCCATCTATAATACCAAGGGGGTGATCCCAGCCGTCACTTCAGGTCATCTAGAGGACTCAATAAAACAAATTGTGTAACCCACCTAGCATGAGTGCCCGGCATGTAGAAAGTGCTCATTTAGCTATTATTATGGGGTTTTGGGGGGGTGGTAGCAAGGCCCACCAGGATGAGAACCTGCCCTCTGCCTAGGGCTCCTCCTCCTCAGCCTGTGATAGGAGACTCGGACAGATGGGAGCAGAGCGAACTCCATCAAGCTCACCAGGCCAGAACTGCATTCCCAGCATCTCTGGAGCACGGGGCCAGTGGGACGGCTGTGCAGCAGCTGCCACCAACAATCCGAAGGGGACCGAGTCTCCAGGCTGGGCCTTGGGGTCTTGGCTGGGCATTTGGGCCGAGCAGCAATGAACCTGGGTCTCCTGCATGTGCCTCTGCACCGTCTCCCAGCTGTTCACGCATCATCACCATCTACCTTTCTGCTCACACAATGCCAGCGCTCCAAGAGAACACCCAAGACACGGCAAAAAGCATTGCTGCTTTTTTTCCCTGGCTGTAAAAGTAATTCTTCATTGTGGGAAAAAAGTTAGAAAAATATAAATTAAGAGCACCCCAAATTTCAAACTTCCAGGTGTTTTCTATATATACACATGTAGACCTAGATAGTTTTAACAAAAATGGAATCCTATGATAATACGCTTTTAAAAAATTGGAATGAATATATTTTATTTTCGAAATCTTTTTTGTTATAAAATATGACACCTACAGAAAGATTATATAAAATGATCGCTCAGATTGATGTATTACACAACAAACACCCCGGGAACCACTGCTTGGGTGAAGAACTCTGCCAGTCACCCCAGAAGCCCTCAGCATGCCCCATCTCAATCACTCCGTACTTTCTGCCAAAAGTTGCCACTATCTAGATTTTTTTTTTAATTTTTAGGCTTTTTTGGGGGGGGAATTAGCTTTAATTATCTATTCAATTTTTTTTTTTAATGAAGGTACTGGGGATTGAACCCAGGACCTCGTGCATGCTGAGCACCCACTCTACTACCACTGAGCTATATACCCTCCCCTCTCCATTATCTCGATTTTTAAGATAATCACCTTCTTGCTTGTTGTCGCCCAAGTGTGTATCCCTAGATGCTATAATTTTGTCTTTAAATCTGTCTTTTAAATCCCTTTAATCTACAGGTTTATTTTTGTAACTTGCTTTTTTTTTTTTTAACTTGGCCATGTATCTTGGACCTTGTCCTTGTTAGTAAATATGACTCTTGTTTTTAATGAGTCTGTTGGATGAGCATAACTGGCCCATTCCCCTGCTGATGGACACTTAGGTTATTCTCACACTTTTGCTGTTATATACAACACTATGATGGAAATCTTTATGCATATGTCCTTGTGCACTTGAATGATTCCTAGAAGGAATTTCTACAAGTGGAATCATGGGTCCAAAGGACACGCTCTTTTTTTTTTTTAAAACAGCATTGTTCAGCCTATGATGCACATACCATGCAATTCACCCATTTAAAGCTTACAAGTCAATGTTTTTTAAGTGTATTCAGAGTTGTGCCACCATCATCACAATAGTTTTAGCACATTATCGTCATCCCATAAAGCACCCCATACCCATTTTCCTCAATCCTCTCCCCCAGCCCTAGGCAACTGCTCCTATGAAAGACAGTCTTCTTTCTGTCTCTATGGATTTCATTTCATATAAATGAAGTCCTACAGTGTGTGATCTTTGTGACTGACTTTCATGTAGCTTAATGTGTTCAAGTTTTATCCATGTCATAGCATGTACCAGTACTTCATTCCGTTTTATTGCTGAATAATATCCCATTGCATGGTTATGCCACACTTTGGTCATCCATTCATCAGTCTTTGGACATTTGGGTTGTTTCTGCTTTTGGCCTTTGTGGGTAATGCTTCTGTGAACATTCTTGTAAGTTTTTTGTGCGAATGTATGTTTTCATTTCTCTTGGCTACCTCCTAGGTGTAGAATTGCTGGTTTAACCTTTTGAGAAACTGCCAGACTGTTTTCCAAAGTGGCTGCACCATTTTAAATTCCTACCTGTAGTGTGTGAGGGTTCTGATCACTCCACATCCTTACCAACACCTGTTATTATCTGTCTTTTTTTATCGTGGGAAAGCTGGTGGTTGTGAAGGATTACCTTGTGGGCTTGATTCGCATTCCCCGGATGGCTACGATATTCAGCATCTTTTCATGGGCTTCTGGACCATTTGTACATCTTCTCTGGATCAATGTCTACTCAGGTCACTTGCCCATTTGAAAATTGGTTTATTTGTCTTTCATTGTTGTGAGAGTTCTTTATATAGTCTGGTTGCAATTCCTTATCAAATATGTGATTTGCAAGTATTTTCTCCCATTCTGTGGGTTGCCTTTTTACTCTTTTAATGATATCCTTGGCAGCACAAAAGTTCTTATTTTGATGATGTCCAATTTATCTGGTTTTTTTTATTTGTTTTGTTGCTGTGCTTTTGGTGTTATATTTAAGGAACTGTTGCCTCATCCTAGGTCACAAAGATTTATGCCTATGTTTTCTTCTAAGAGTTTAATGGTTTTAATTTTCACATTTGGGTCTGAGATCCATTTCAATTTTTGTGTAGGGTGTGGGAAGGTCCAGCTTCCTTCTTTTGCATGTGGATAACCAGTTGTCCCAGTACCATTCGTTGAAAAACTGTTCTATCCCCATTGACGTGTCTTGGCACTCTTGCTGAAAATCAATTGACTATAAGTGTGAGGCTTTATTTCTGGACTCTCAATTCTATTCCATTGATCTACATGTCTATCTTATGCCAGGACCACACTGTATTGATTACTGGCTTTGTAGAAAGTTTTGAAATTAGAAGTGTGGGTCCACCAACATTCTTCATCTTTTTAAAATATTGTTTTGGCTATTTGGGGTTACTTGAATTTCTATATGAATTTAAGATCAGCTTGTCAGTTTCTGCACAGAAGCAAACTGGAATTTTGATGGGGGTGGTGTTGAATCTGAGATCATTTGGGGGAGTTTTGCCATCCTAACAATATTAGGTTTTCAGATCCATGAACATGGGGTGTTTTTCCATTAATTTCAACCTTCTTTAATTTTTTTCAATAGTATTTTGTAGTTTTTAGAGTTTAAGTTTTGTACTTCTTTTGTTAAATTTAGTCTTTAGCATTTTATTCTCCTTAAAGCCAGTGTACATGAAATTATTTTCTTAATTAAGTTTTTGAAGTGTTCATTGCGAGTGCATAGTGATGCAACTGATTTTCATATATTCATCCTGTATCCTGCAACCTTGCTGAAATCATTCATTAGTTCTAATATTTTTGGTGGATTCTTTAGGATTTTCTATATACAAGATTATGTCATCTGCACAAAGAGATCGTTTTACTTCTTGCTTTGTCATCTAGATGCCTTCTTTTTTCTTATCTGAATGCCCTGGCTGGAACCTGCAGTCACTGTTGAATAGGAACAGTGAGAGCAGACATTCTTGTCTTGTTCTTGATCTCAGGGGGAAAGCACCCAGTCTTTCACCATTAAATACAATAGTCGCTGTAGGAAGGCTCATTTTAGGATTCCCTGAAAGTTTGGCTGGTTACAGCCTCACTACTAGTGTGTATGAGAGGGACCCCAGTTGCCTCGCCCCTTGCCAACATGATAGCCCCAGGTTTTAGAGGTGAGGAACCAAAGACCAGGAAGGGGGAGTGCTGTATGTCTCATTACACAGCCGCTCAGCCACCTACCATCCAGCTGCCCACAGTCATTGGGGAGTGAGCCTCCTGGACACTCAGGCTTCCCTCCCTTAGTAGGGATGCCTTGAGCCCCACCAAGGGCAGCCACTGGTACAGAAGGAGGCCTGGGTTCTGTTCTCGGCTTGGCCACTAAATTGTTGTGTGATCTGGGCCAAGTCACTCCATCCACCCTGCCCTGGGCCTCAGTGTTTCCATCTGTGCGGTGGGAGAGGTGGTCCACTCTGAAATCCTCCAGCTCTGACCACCCACCCTTAAACCCACAGCGGCTTCTGCCACTGCCCAGAATGACCACCAGAGGGCGCCCCAGACCAGCACTTGGCCCAGCTCCGCTGCAGGGGGCCCCAGGGAGGCTGAGAGACAGGGTGTGTTTTCCAGGAGCCACTAGCTTTGCTCGCAAGGGCTTCCTTATGGCTAGACCTGCCCAAGCCATCTGCCCCGTTCCTCTGGCTGAGCACTGGTCTCTGAGGAGGGAGGATGGAGACATCACCCTCAAGGCCAGCGACCTTGCTCTCATCCCTGTCTGCTTTGGGTTGGCTGCATAAGGTCCAGGCGTCCAGTGTCAGGGCCAACAGCCTTGAGTTTCTCAGCCTCAAAAGGTTTCTACTGTCTTTAGGCCTCTTACCGGGGACGCATTCTTCCCCTGCCGCATTGCCTGGCAGTGGGAAGCCCCTGTCCTGGTGAGTGTTTGGCCGCCTGGAAGGGGCACCGCGCAGCCCATTTTGCATATGGATAGTTTCAGGCTGGGGACCCTGGACAGTGTAGTCTTGGAAACCACAACATCCAGGACCCTCGGATACCTCACATGACGGACCCCAGAACAGCAGAGGCAGACACCATGGACATCAGGGACCACCCAGCTCCTCCCAGAGCAGAGCATCTGACCTGCTTTGGGAAAGATTCTCCTGGGAACACCAGAGGGGCCCTATCAGCCCCACTCCAAACTTCCTCCACCCTGATTTTACCCCCAAGCAGAAGCAGAACCTTTGCTTTGCAAATCAAGCTCCAAGCAGCATCTCCCAGCCCCCGCCCTGATGTCTGCCGCTTGCCTTGCGTCCCATTACTTGCATATGTATTCTCCCTCCCATTCTGGACTGGGTCCCCTCGAAGGCAGAGTGACTCTCACATTCTCCTCAGTTCCCTCCCTGGTGGCTGGTTCAGGACATGGTTTCCAGTAGAAGCTCGACAGATTTCACCACGGAAACCCGGGTCCCATCTTCCTCCCACTTAAGGGCCTCAGTGCTGCCTCTGCCCCTCGCTTAGCTGTGTGGCTCTGGGCCAGTTGCTGAGCCTCTCTGAGTATCCACTTTGTTTTCTTCTTTGCTGCTCTACTTTCCTCAAAAGGTTGCCAGGGTCAGAGAGGGTGTGAGCGCCCTGGTGTGAAGGGTGATATGCTCTCCCTGTGTCAAGTGTAATTGTCCTCAGAGCACCAGCTGCACGCGGAGGTCACATGGAGGAGAGGCGGTGCCAGGCCACACCCTCCCGAGTGCCCCAGTTTTCAAATAACATTGGCCGACATTTCCTGGGTTTGTTCTACGGACCAGACACTGTGCTGAGTACCTCACCAGGATTCTGGCCCTGGATCCCCTCAGTGACCATTCGAGTAGGCAGCATGACCATGCCCAGCTTTGCAGACAGGGAAACTGAGGTACACAGCAATCAGCTACCTGGCCTGAGATCACAAACTTGGCCAATGATGGGCGGGGCTGGGACTTGGAGCCTGGTGTGTGGCCTCTGGAGCCCAGGCTCTCAGCCACCGAGCTTCCCATTTGTGCTGGCACAAGGCAGGGAGGGGCAGCTAAGGGGCCTTTTTGTTCACTATTAGGGATCTTCAGGAGTCAGAGGTCATGGGTTCTGATCTTCCCTTTTCGGGACTGGAGCACTGAGGTCAGAACAGTCGGGCATCTGGGGCAAAGCAGGACCTGGCAACATCCAGTGTAGTTCTGACTGGGAAACTGGATGATGCCAAAGCCCTGTGAGTCTCAGGATCTATGATTCCAAAAATTGTCCGGCCGCCTCATTCCCAAAAGCCAGCCTCCGTCTTGGTTGGACTCATCTTCCCAACTTTGGGGTCTTGGGAGCCAGGGTGGGAGGGAAGGAGTACTCAAAGGCTCAAAATGATGCTCACCCACCAGCCCAGATGCTGGGCACCAACAGGATCCTCCTCCCCAACGCCCAGGCCCTTATCAGGAATGCAATTTGGGTTGGTGGGGAGGGGGAGGACCGAGGCCTCGGGCTCTGACAAGGTGGGGAGGAGAGATAGGGAAGTGGAGAGGGGGCCCGAGGGGTCCTGCTGCTGGGAGGGCCCAAGGCTGGAAGGGATGCCCAGAGCCTGCACAGTGGGGGCTGTGGCCAAGTGCTGTCCTTGCTGGCCTGGCCCCTCGACACGGTTCCAGGGCTGCTCCTGCCTTCCATCCTCGCCAGGCAAGACGCCCGCACCTTTAATTAGCGAGCAGCAGCCTCTCCCCGATTCATCACAGTCACTGTTTAATTAGCCTCACACAAGGCGCCCCTACCCCCCAGCTCTGGGCTGAGCAGCCTGCCTCTCTCACAGAGGCTGCCACCACCTCACGGTGTCCCCTGTCACCACCCCCCCATACTGACTCTGCTCCCCAGAATGGGGGATGGGGCGGGCACACCTGGCTGAAACCTCAAGGAGATTCTGGGCACTGGTGCTTGTATTGAAGGCATCCAGCAAACATTATTAGGGCCTCGAGTCTGCGCCAGGCTGGCGCTGGGTAGAACCCAGGTTGGATGAGGGTGGCTGTCTCAGTCGTGTGCGACTGCTGGGGATGGCTTTTCCCTTTGGGAGGTGTTGCTCCCACCCCCACCCCCCCATCTGGAAAGAGACAGCCATTCCCTCCTGCTCTCCCTGTCCCAGGGCCCAGCAGTCTCCCCTGAGAAGGCGGAATCCTTCCCCAGAGGCAGATCCTGGAGGCCCAGGCCCAGGCCCAGGCTATGAGCAAAGGGAGGTGGGTGGGGGCCTCTCAGCCCTGCTCTGCATCTGCAGGGCCCTGGGTGTTGGGGGCACATGAGTGAGCCCACAGTCGGTGGCTGAACCAGGCACTCTCTGTTTCCCTGAAGCAGGGCGGGGCTGGTGGCCTTGGGAGTGACACCCCACACCCTTCCGTGCAGAGCCAGGGCAGCTGCCGGCCCGGGGCAGCCAGCTGGAGGCAGGAGGCTCAGGTTCCATCCCCGTGCTGGTCCATCCTAGGGCTTCAGGCAAATCAGCCACGCTGAGGCTTCAGCATCCTGGCTACAGAAGGGTGCTAACCACCCTGCTCTGATGTGGACAAGGATGTAGAAGGATCAGCATTATTCTGGAACCTGAGGGAAGTGCCTGAGTCCATCCTGATACTGACCAACGTGTGGCCTCAGCCAGCCACCAGACTGCGCTGGCCTCAGTTTCCCTACAGGTGACATCTGCCTCATGGGTTGTTGTAAGGGTTAAATGACTTACAGTGTTCAGTGCACTCAGAACAGAGGCAGTCCTCAGTAATCGTCAGCTGTTTTTGCCATTTCCCGCCTCCTTTTACCAATCAATATTTATCGCCAGGTGAGAGGGAGTTGGTGGTGACACAAAGGCCTGGAGGCAGGAATTGGCTTGGGAGATTTGAGGTCCACCTGCAGGGGTGGGTGAAGAAGAGAGGTTGGCAGCTTCCTGTCGCTTTCAAAGGACAAGAGGGAGGAGGGAGACTCTGGGCTGGGAACTATATCTAGCCTTTTCCGTGAATTAGCACCTCATTTTAGTCCTTGCAGTTGCCCTGTGGGGAGGTACCATCATCTACTTACAGGTGAGACGAGGAAGAACAGAGGCTCCGCCCACATCCCCAAGGTGAAAGCAACAGGCTTGCGCTTGGAAGGAGACCTCGTGGCCCTTTGCGGCTGTGCTGTGCCGGGGACTTCCTGGGAGACAGGGAGAGGGCTAAGAGGCGGGGCCTGGACCAGGCCTGGGTGTGGCTGTGGAGGGGTGGGTCAAGCAGGAGAGGGGGCACCCAAGGGGTGGGTCTCTGGCCAGCACAAGGCTGTGTGTCAGGGCAAGGGAGCATCTTTGTACAACAGTTTTGTAATCAACTTTGGAAATAGTAATACTATATTTATGTAATACACAATTCTGAAAGTACGAAACAACATATAGAGACAAGTTAAGGTCCCCTACACTTTCCCTCCCCAGAGATGCCCTCTGAGACCTGTTTCTTGTGCATCTTTCCAGAGCAGCACCTTGACCACAACACTAGCGAACAACCAGCAGTCCCCACAGGCCTGACAGGCACCATGGCCAGAAAGCCCTAGATGCACATTGGTTGCTTTTAATCCTCATACCAACCCTTGCTGTGTATATATATCAATATTTCTGTTTAAAATTGAAGTAAACTGAGGTGCAGACAGGTTAAGGCCACACAGCTAACATAGGGTTTGGACTCAAGGACTCTCTGACAGCATTGTGTAGATGAAGAAACGGAAGCACAGAGAGGTTGAGTAACCAGCCCCAGGTGACCCAGCAAGGAGGTTGAGGAGCCAGGACTTGAGTCTGACAGTCTTGATCCTGAACCTGCACCCCTGAGCCCCGCACTGTATTAGGAGAAAGGATGCCAACCCCAGAGTCAACCACACATGGGAGTGAGGCTGACCACCGCCTAGCTGCGTGGCCTTGGACAAGTCACTGTCTCCCCTGTGATCTGGCTCCCCACCCAGGCTAGAGAACAGGAAGCCTGCCTCCCAGAAGGCTTGAGGATGAGCAAGAGCAGAGGGAGAGGCCTCTGGTGCAGAGTGGCGCTAGCGCACTGCTCCCCAGACCATCCAGCGGGCGCTTCCTGTGATGGGCAGGAGGAAGGGGGTGTCCAGGTGGGTGTTTCAGGGGGCTGGGAGCTCAGGGTGGGGCCTTCCCTCCCCGCAGCTATGCAGACAAAGCAGGTGAAGGGCTCCCTAGGAGAGGGGTGGGTGGAGCCCGTCCACCCTCTGCCCAGCCCACAGCCACACTGCTGACCCAGGAATTCTGGGGAGTCAGGAGAGGGAAAAGGGGTTTCCAGAGGTTTGTGCAGTAAGCCCAACGCTCCCACCCCTTACCCAGGCTGGGTGCCAGGACCCTGCAGGGTGGGTGGGGCAGGGTGCTGGGGAGGAGGCTGCAGGCAGAAGCCGCAGAAATGACAAAGCGAGAAGGGACTCAGCCCAGGTGCCGGCTCAGGCTGGGTTCCAGAGAAAGCGGTCCTCATGTTGGCAGAGTCATGTCACCGCCCCAGGCTGGTGGGCTGGCTTTCAGCTTAGCAGGCATAGAAAACCAATTTGTCTACTTCTCCCCTGCTGCAGCCCAAGGGTAATCAGACTACTGGGGCTAAGATCACCAGATTCAACAGGACATCGACCAACAAACACAATAGCCAGTTTCTTCATCTACAATGCGGGCCAGACTGTGAGAGGCCAGACTGCGTTAGTCTCCACCCAATTCACTTGCTCCTACCCCAGGACCAGGGAGCCTGGGTTAGTAATGAGAGGGACCTGGGGAACTGAGGTATGGAACACTGTCTTGGGGTGTTTGTCAGTGATCTCAGCCAGGCTGCCCAGAACAGCACAGCAGGGTGGGGCAGCAGAAGCAGGCTTGGGTTGGAATTCCAGCTCTGCCATCATGAGCCTCACTTTCCCCGTCTGTAAAATGGGGTTATTATCAGAATTGAGACCTCATTGTGATGGTAGAGATTCTTAAACAATGCATGATATGTAGTAGGTGCTCAATAAATGTCACTCTCCTCCACTGACTAGCTGGTTAATCTCATTTTCAAAACCCCACAGGCCTGGAGACAAATTTTGGCACTTGTCCTGTGCTCACTCGGCCGTCTGGGAGAGGCAATTTGTGTCTCCAAATGTTAGAATTGCTGAAACGTTGATGGGGAGATGGGGGACACTATGTGAAAGTGGCGCTGTCTCTACTGATGGGACCCAGGGGTCACAGGGCCTCCCCTGCAGGTGCCAGGAGACTCTGGATCCAGCAGCACCTCTTCTCGGCCTGAGGCTGGGCTGGCTCAACCCACAGCAGTTTCTTTTTGGCAACTCCTTAAGGCTCCTGGAGGACACCGCCTACTGTCCTGACCACGTTCTGGGCATGCAGTCTGATCTGGAGCCGGGGGCGGCTTCAGGGGGTGGAAGGGAGCTGGGCCAGTCCTGGGGGTCATCCCTGAGGGGGCATTTCCACCTGGTCCTCTGGCCCAGGGAGCAGGGCTGAGGGGCTGTCTCTGGGGTGTAGCGTTTTCCTGTGAATGAGTGTAAAAGTGCCGGCAAAACTGGAAGGGGCTTCTTAATTGCAGGGATGATGATCTTTAGAAAACCTTCTGTCTTTTCTGTGAGGCAGAAACCGCTAGCTAGAAATGACCTTGGCCATCAGTGTTTTTCCAGGAAGAAATTCAATTGATATTGGGCAGGAAAGGGTGTTCGTGGTCAAATAAATTTGGGAAGCACCAACTTAAACAACCGACCATGGTTTCTTCTCTGCAGGGTTTCTCGGAGCCTTTCATGTGCATTTATGAACTTCTAAGAGGCAGCGGCCAGGCCTCTCTGACAACAGTGTTCTTTTCAGTTGTCCTGGACCATCTTGTGAGCTTACAGGGCTATGGAACCCACTCTGGGAAATGCCAACATAGCAAAAACAGACAAACACACCGCCACCTCCTCCACATACCAGAGCTAGGGGGATCTTGGGGACTCTGGAGAATCTAGGGTCCAAAAAAAAAAAGGGTTTGGGAGATGCTCTATTTTAAAGCTAAGGCTTTAATCCCTCTTTTCCCTGTATTAACACATTTAATCTTCACCACCACCCTGTAAAGTAAGCATGTTGTCATCTCCATTTTCTAAGGGGTAAATCAAGGCACAGAGGGACAAGTCCTGGCCCAAGATTCACAGCTGGTAAGTGGTGGCACTGGGATTTGAACGCAGGCTGCCTGATTGAGGAGCCGCTCCCAAACCCACTGTGTGATCCGCCTTTACCACGAAGGCTCCAGAACCTGCCTCTCTCAGGTGCCACACATCTACGCTCCTGTCTAAGGGTGAAGCTTCCGGCAAGTGGCTGGTGTCAAGTGTTCTCAGGAGGGTCTGTGGCTTCTGTTTCACAGAGGGATAGTCTTCTGGCTCTGAGTCCGGGGGCCTGGGATGCCCCGTGGGTGAGCCCTACTGTCCCCAGCTTCCCCACCAGCAGCCTGGCCCCACCAGAAGGCCGTGTGATGCTCTCCTGTCATCCTCAGCCTGGTTATCTCCATTCCACAGGAGAGCCTCAGAGGGGAACCATGGTTCAGAGAGGGGAAGTAACCTACCCAGTCACATAGCCGGGAGATGGTGAGACTGGAATTTAAACCCAGGCTATTGGACTCCAGAGCTGGGTGCTCAAGATACAGGTGCCCTTGGTGACGAAGCAGTGGGTTCCTGTGGCCAGGGCAGTGGCACAGCTGTGGGGCCACACCCCATCAGGCCCCTGCTCTCCTCAGCTGGTGGCCGCCCCGGCAAACCCACGACTGTCCTCCGCCTCTGGACAGATGTGGTCTCATGTTCCCTGCTCATCTCCCAGGCCTCCCTTTCCCAGGCTTATTTGGGCCAACAATCAGTAGCATAAAAACGGGCAGATATGTCACCACCATCAGGGACGCGGGAAGCATTTGCCATGGTGGCTGCTCGGCTGCTCAGGGCTTTATCTCCACCTCCCGGGGCAGGGCCTTGGTGGCTTTCTCCTTCTGGGGTGCAGACTTTTTGTCCTGGATGTGTTTTCTTCCGCTGTGGCTCATCGGTTCCTGGAGATAGAGTTGTTCGTCGGTCCCTC